CCGGCAGAGGGCGCGGCTTTTATCCGTCTCCCAACTGCACTCAGTTTCGACTCCGACGGGGACCCCTGGTCCAAAAAGGGCGACCAACCAACCAACCATCGAAATCGACGGTCGAAAATTCAGTGACCATAGACTTTCACACCTCTCCTCCTTTTCCATCTGGGTCCGGTATCATGACCAAGTCAATAAGATTGGAGGCGGAGGTGGCTAGCCATGGGAGGGAGGCGCTTGCAGCTTACTCAGAATAGACTTCCAAACAGCATCTTGGCACAGCTACAAGACTCTGCAAAGACGCTTCAAGCTATGCTTTTAGCAGAATTGCTGCTGCTGCTGCTCTCACAGTCATCAGACTAATGGACCTCTTGTTCCAGCAATCACGCCTTCTCTTTCTGAACTGCTTCTACCGCGAGTAGTTAATTTGTGAAGAAGCACTAGACTGTTTACGAAATCCCACATCCAAAAATGGCCACGTTTGAGGTTGAATCAGTGTTTCCGACGTATGGCTCCAGTAGAGGAGGCCGACTACCTTGAAATACAAAGGTTATAGCAGAACAAGACGGTCCCAAACCGGCAGAAAAGAACTTGCCTTATGAGTTCAGTTCTCAGTCGGCTGGCAGCAGCCTCGCTGGGAGGAGCATTTCGCAGACAGAAGACGTCCGGTCGGATAGTGTCCACCTCCAACAGAACGCGATCCTCCTCGTCGGTGAGTGAATAGGGTTCATCTGCTTGGTAAGAAAAAATTGTGGGGGAGGGGGGGGTTTAGGCTAGCTCCCTCAGGACTCAACAACGATGTGCGTCTGCCTCTTTTGTGGGTATATGAAATGAAAATTGCAAAAGCGAAGACACAAGGGAAAATGGGGTGGTAAAGAATGAGAATTTGCTACTCGTTTATTCCTCAAAATTTGTTTAAGAGTACCATACTACATTGATTGTTGCTACCATTGGGGTTTGACGTACGCGGTACTGCTGGATATAGAGTTAGAGGAGGCAAGAAACTAGAAACAGTCAGTATACCGGAAGAAGGCGTTTTGTGCACTAGTTACTAAGATTCCTACTTGCTTGGTTTCGGGTCCGAACGACCCCGCAAATTGACAGATATGCCCTAGACCACATTGTTTATCGCTATGGGAAAGGGTAGGGTGTGGAAGAAGCTGCAAGGACTTCCACTGTCTTGCAGAGTGCGGATGAAGCGGTACCCTTAAGCTACA